GAGACACGTTCTGCAAAAGACTAGAGCAAGCTGGGCTACGTCTCACCTGGGGACCGAGGTAAATTATTAGTTTATCCGACACCCTTGCTACATATACAAATTAAACTGGACAAAACCAGCTATCGAGCTCTTACATGTTTTCAAGCACTCGCTTTATAGCCGGTCGGCTCTTTTTATAGCTGAGCAGCTATTTTTAGGGTGTGATAATTACTTTGCGCATGCAACCAGTCTAAATGTATTGCGTGTTTCACCAGTTAGTTGCATGATATAGCAGGGGCCTTAAAGAAGGAGAAATGAGTGCAAGTGGTTCAGCCCAGACAGGTAGGACGGCAGGTGGAAGACGGTTCCCCGAGCCTCAATGGTTATGACTCTCCTGAGCAAAGAATGGCCATTCCCTGGGTCTGACCCAGGTGCTTTGGGGCATGCCAAGGCTGTGGCAGGGACGTGAGTCTATCAGGGGCCTATTGCATCAAGCCGGGGGGCCTCAAGTCTATCCAAGGGGGCCCCCCCCGAGTCTAGTCCAGGAAACCTTGAAACCCAGATCTGGGTCTTGCCCAGCATCCTGTCACACTGCAGCACAGATCGGAGGCAAAACAGGACAGCGAACAGCTGATTTTTCCCCTCTGTTTCTCTCTCATTTGCAGCATTCAAGGTCTAGGACGGTCCGATTCCCACACCCTTTCCTCCCTGTTTGACTCTGGCTAAACTTTGTTTCTGCCACGCCTTGGAGAAAGCAACTCCCTCGTGTTGGTTTCCACCCGACGACGACGACCCACCAGCGCCTCCTCACCCTTGGCTCCGGCCGCAGGGGGTTGGCGGCTGGTCGCCGAGGCGGCGCATACGTACCCGTCGAAGCGCACGGTCCCCGTCTGCTGCGTCTGCACGCGGTAGTGCTCCAGGAGCAGGCGCACCACCTTGGCGTGGCCATTGCGGGCGGCCACAATGAGGGGCGTGGAGCGCTGCCCGCCGTGCTGGCTCACATAGCCCAGCAGGTACCGGATGTCACTCTCGGAGCGGTTCAGGAGCAGGGCCGCCAGCGTCAGCACCCGCCCCTCGCTGGCCGCCTTGTACACGTAGCCGGCCAGGCCCTCCATGGCGGCCCACGGCCCCCCGCCCACGGACGCCTCCGCCGACGCCCCCTCCTCCTCCGCCCTGCCCGGCAGGGGCGCGGCCGGG